ATCAGAGCTTTCACTGTGTCTCTACAATCCTATTGCTCAAATCCTGTGTAGATGGAAGCTCTTTACCTAGTCTCGACTAAACTGAACTACGATGGCTTACCCTTCCCCTTCAATACAATAATCCCTTATTTTTCCCTCGACATCTGACTCACGTGATGAGAAGTGCTCCCCCTTTTGCCCCGACATAGAATCACTTTCTGCCAGTGCTTTGTGGAAAAGTGGGCGCTATCCGATCATTTAATTTGGGTCTAATCTGGCGGATCATGTGTTGCTATTTCTGGATTGGCAATGGGTTTAGTGTAGTTGATTGTGATTGTGATTGTATGGGAGCTCATATCATAACACAGGACTAAGAGAAGATGAGGATTTTTGTAAGTAATTTGCTCTTGCCATCTGCTCCTTATTCGTACAGGGTAGGATTTTTTTATTTGTTGAAGTATTTGAAAGTTTAGTTATTGTGGTATATTTTTTCAATCATATTGATGCAATTCGATGATGTTACTGAATTTTTTATAAACATTACAAATGATATCATATTCATTGCATATGTATTTTGTCTATTTGGAATCAGAAGGGTGTTTACTATGTGTTAAAGTCTCATTAAGATAATGCCCTTTTAGCTCGGAGCAAACAATTCCAATATTTTCTTTTTAGGAGGGAAAAGTTATGGTCTTGCTGGACCATTAAGGTGGATTGCTGGGATCGTTTTTTAGTTCAACTGGAAACTAGTTCGGATTTTGATGACATTAACTACCAAAAACGAGGGAAATTAACCATATACATCGTAACAGTGAAATAAACCATGCATTAGACATGTACATACAGATATGTATCTTTAAACTTTGTTTTTTTAAATGAATAGTATAAGAGGCTTAAATCACAGACGAGTCTATGTTTATAATGTACAGATACGATGGCTGCATTCCTGTAACAAAGACGTGTTGTCTAGGGAAAATTATAACATGTTTGCTACAACTAAAATAAAAATCAACCTAAGACAATTTCAATGGCCTTGTATTTCACCTTTTTAAAATGTACAAACATTATAAAGACATGTATATTGCATAATCTGAACATGATTTCTATGGGACATACAATAGGTTATTGAAATTGAAATTGAGTTGATTTTTGTAAAGTAGTTGTGAACGTGTTATATGTGAAATGTGATTTACATTATGATCTTTTTCTTGTCTAACAAAGTGAATTTGAAGAGAAGTTAATACTTCCAGAAAGTATTTTGTTAACAAACAGTTTTTCAATCACAAGCACTGATACATGTATATTTCACTATGAGTATCACCAATCATATACACAAGGGATTATCCATATTTTTCCTGTGCGAAAGACTATTTCAGAAATGTAAATATTACTGTAATTCTGGTCATGATTAATTACAGAGATTGTAAAATTGTTAAAGAAGCTTTCTATGTCAATTTAGGGGAATGAAACACTTTATAGTGGGTTAAATTTAATTGAATTAAAAACTCTGATGATCAAAACATACACCGTACACTTGTACATATTTGTAGGATTAATCATATCACATGGCAGATTATAATCCTATGTAACTGAAATAGTGTAACTTAATCCATGTGGGTATCTTTATGACCCTCATTTATCCTAACTGTTAAGTTTGAGAAGATTATCCTATATACATAAAAGTTCATGTTTTTACTTTCACAGAGAAGTTTTTAAGTGCACCTATTATGATAATAGTTATCTATGCCATTAAACTAATGTAAAAGCAATATGAATTTATAATCTCCATGCTAAAATTATGGTGAAATATATTTTCAAAATATTGAGATCACCCTTTAAATTTGTCCAACATTAAATTATGCATTGAAGAACTATTATATCAACAAAATTTTACATTGATTTTAATGAAAGTGTATATGAATGATGTACATGGAGGGTGAAATCTGGATTTGTTAATATTATGTATAAGAAGATCTGAGTCTCTTCTCAAAAGGAAATGTCATTATTAAATGCCATTATGGAATGCCATGATTGATAGTAAATTAGCTCAAAACAGTGCTTTAAGATCTTTGAAGTATTAAAAGGTAGAATAACTGAGTGATAAATCCTCTTGATCTAGTGATTACATGAAAATGAAGTTGAAGATATCCCTGTGTAGCATTAGTTAGTTGCTCTTCTAAAAGCTAAATCAAACACGTTTTGTAACCAAGCTTTTGTGATATCATTTCCTGTCTCTAAAGTAACTCCCTAGATGTTTCAGCATGCACGACTTGCAACCCTGATTCTTTATTTCAGTTTCTTCAAAATGCCAAATGCTTGTTTCTTTCGTTGTAGTTTAGACTCCAAATTCTTCATATGCTGACCAGTCTTCATGCATGTTCCATGGACTTATAAACTAAGTCTATGCATGTTCTACAGGGTTTTTCTTTCTTAATGAACTCTTTTTCTACCACTCTATATAGCTAGTAATCTCTTCCTGTCTCTGTATTTCTCCTTTTTTTCTCTCTCTCTCTCTCTCTAAATCTCTTTCTCTTTCTCTCCCTCCCTCCCTTCATCCATCCTTCCCTACCTCCCTGTCTCTCTCTTTCTAGTATCTTTTCCCCCATCTCATTTCCCTTTCCCATTCTCCCTCCCCACCCCTCACTCCTCACCCCCTCACTCTCCATCCCTTCTCACTTCCAACCCTCACATTTTCTTTACTCCTCTGTCTCATTCTTCCTCCTGTATATATGTACATCTCTCAAACTCCTGTCTCCTTCTCTTTTCTCATAACTCCTTTCTGCTGCTCCTCCTGTGTGACATCCTGTATGATATGTCTCTTTTGGTTGAGCCTTGGTTAGTAATCATGTCATAGAAACTCAACCTAATTAGACGTAACTCACAGTGCTTCATAAATCCTTGCAATGCTACTATTGACCATGCTGATTCCTGCTTCAATACACCCCAATTTCCTCAATTTGTCTAAGATTGATACCATAAAACATACATTCTGTATTGACCACTTAATAAAGGAGACAAAAAAGGGGGTCTTAAGATTGGTTTCTTTAATGCAGGTGTTGTTGAAAAACTCTGCTTAAGGGAAGCAATTCTTTGTGTGTCTTTATAGATTTGTAGCCTTTCTCTACAGGTGGTGGCTTTAAAATTTTACCATACGAAAATGGGTGATCTGATAATGGGAAAAAGAAAGAAAAACAAAATTGGTATAAAACTTGATTGCAGTATAATATGCATTTTTTGTTGTATATATTTTGAATGAGTTTTGAGTGAATTACTTCTCTCTAAGATTGGGTTAGGATTAAAAAAAAAAAAAAAAATTCCTTCCAGATTGCTTGTAAATTTGCCACACACCACTTTTAATAGTGACACTCAAGCCATTCTTGATACCCACGCAATATTATGTGATTGGTAATCACATAATATACATGTATGGCGTGGCTCTTGTATAAGGATCACCACACTTGAGTTGGCTTGCAAATTTGAATTTAAGGGTCATACACTTTTGTTCTAGTATATTACCTCCAATGTGATTGAACCGGCACCACATTATTGCTGTTTTCTTCTATATTATGCAGTTTAATTAGGCTACATCAAAGAAAGTTTTGATAGTGCAATAACACTTCAGTCACATTCTAGTTTAGAATATACACTGTAATATTTCACAAGTGGCACTTGTGAAATACAGTAGATATAGTTGGTTAATTTGTAATGTTCTGTTTCTTATGTATTTATATATGTATTTATTTTTATTTTTTAATATATATTTATATAATAATTCCATTATAGTTTTTGATGAAAAGTGTAGGATCTCATTATACATGAGTACCACTTTTCTCCTTGTTGTTAACCCTCAAATATTCAGCCCTTGTTTTTAATTAAGTTTAAAATAATTTTATTTATAGTAAAGGGTTTATTATTATGAAATCCACAGGGATAAGAGGCATTTATGATCCAGGATAATATCTCTTGCTTTCTTCAAGTAAACATCCAGTTAGTAACAAAACCAAGCATTAGTTCCAGTACAACATTCTTTATACCCATATTCATGCTTTATATTTGTATATTGTACCTGTCTTAATCCCCTTAATTGGCCTATTCAGGCCTGAGTCAGTAAATCACTTTGAAAATAGAATGAGTACCGGTAGGTGCAATGGTGTGCTTCAAAATTCTGTGTCTTATAAGTGACACAAAATTCAGAGATACAGCTAGTGGGGGCCATTGTTTCAAACAGCTGTTTTCTATTTTACCCCGAAATCATGGCCCTATGCCATTCACACATGTCAAGTAATCAAAGTATGAAACAATTCTGGATTAAAGCATGGACCTTCTATGATTAAAGTAACTTATTTTCAGTGTAAAGAATTTGGTTATCTTTGCAAGTAGCATGTATTTTGATGGAAACAAAAGGGCATGTACATGTATATTTTTAGAAACTATATGTACCATAGCCTCACAGCGTTAAGGATCTTTTGGAGCAGTTGGTTTCTGAAGAGAAGAAACAATGGTATCGTGTTACATCCATAGTTGAATCAATCAAGATTTAATATTGAATCTATTGATTTTGTCTACATGTCACACATACATAAACATATATATCCTAATATATAGTAACTTGCTTGATGTTCAGATGTCATGAAAATATTACTATTACACTGTACCCACAGTTTTATGATATTGATGTAAACATGTTTTCTCCTCATTATTGAGTATTACCCATTATACATATAAAAGTACACATATCATGTACCATTTGTTAACACTGCATCGGAATCTAATTGTTCCTTACTGCACATGTATCCTCATAATGCATGTGTAACTGTCTTACTGACATTGAATTGTAACTAAAAGATTTAATTTTACGATCCCATTTTATTTTCTCCCTGTCCAATCCTATATCCTATTCTGCAGACCCATGTTCATAACACCAATGTGCATCTACAATATATACCTGCCCCCTCTATTTTTGTTCATTGCATATTCTTTATTTTCATTTGTTTTGTGTTATATCTTGTTTGCTCGAGCAGAAAGCAGACGACAGTCTTAACTTCGAGGAGCAGATCTTGGAGGCAGCTAAAGCCATCGCCGCGGCAACCAGTGCTCTCGTCAAAGCTGCTGGCTATGCGCAGAGGGAATTGGTGCAACAAGGAAGGGTAAGAAGATTCATTGTGCACCTATTTTTTTGTAGAAAAGAAAAAGAAATCTTTATTTTTGTAATACCTATTTCAGTCATGAATTTAGAAAGATAATGGTCATTACTTGTTATTACTTCCTGAAATATACTGGCAGTGTGAACCTGTTCATTCTCATTATTAACATGTATATCATCTGTTGAGAGCCAGAAATCTATTACTACATCTATTATAAGGATATGAGTTAACATCCTTCTGGCTCTCAACAGACACATGTATTTAATGTCAAAAAGTGAGATGTACATGTAGTCAATCACTTGCCATCATCCTTTAATATTAACCATGCAAGGATGGGCCCCATACCTATATTTATGCATCCTTCAAAATAGACTTGACAAGTAATTGTTGAAGAAATATTTGCCTTGATATTACAATCCGATCTCATTGTTTTGTCAATTTGTTTTTAAGCGGATTTGATACATTAATCATGTTAAGATGTGTTATTGGCTGAGCACCAAAATGAGAAGATTATGATAATCTCATATATGCTATTTTAAAAATACCACAGTTCTTCAATAGAAAACAGATTTTTAGAGTCTGAACAAATATTATGAGTTTCCAAATACGATGTTATTTTGTTTTTGTTGCCAGCGTATGATATTGTACCGTAATGTCACTCCAGAAATTGACTAAACTGAAAGGGGTGGTGTAATTCCTACATACATTTGGACAGTACACTCATAGCATACAATGTACATGCATATAAACTATGCCTTTAACTTATCCCTGCAATTTGTATGGTTCTCCTTTTCATTATGTTGTTCTCTATGCAGGATATTGTTCTGCAATGTTACTCCAGATATCAACTTTATTTCAACAGATAGAGTGTACATACTTATACATGTATGTAAACAAGGTCTATTCACATGCTCTCTGATTTATTTTTAGAATCTCTATTTAGATACCTTTCTTATCAATAATTTATAGCAAGCTCTTATGTATGCCCATGACTTGACAGTTGATTTTGTGCATCCTTTAGGTGCGTGCTAACCCCTCACCATACAGCGAGGATGGCCAGTGGTCGATGGGGCTCATCTCTGCAGCTCGTAAGGTCGCTGCGGCCACCCAGGGCCTGTGCGAGTCGGCCAACTCGTGGTACAAGGTCATGCCAGTCAGGAACGTCTGATTGGATCAGCCAAGCAAGTCGCTAGCTCCACCGCCCAGCTGCTGGTTGCATGCAAGGTTAAGGCCGATACCTTCAGTGAATCCATGCGAAGACTCCAGGTACGTCTAATTACATCATCTGATAATAACAATCTAATGAAACTGAACCCATGGGAGACATGATCTTAGCAAAATTTGGATTAAACCTGTTGGAAATAGACATTCAATGAAAAAGTAAAGCTGTCTCTAGTTGGTTAACTGTCAGTTATGCATTCAGTTGAGAGTTTGAAGGTTGTCAGCTAGTATGTATGATTTGATCGTGAGAGAAATGGAATATTCTCTTTAAGGAGGAAATCTTGGATTATACCCTCTAAAATAACTGAGTTGGTACAACATATGTGTGATATTCATTATCAAATGATTTGTTTCTTCATATGCCTATGCCTTTCACAATGATCTCAGTATCTCACTCAAACTAAAGGCACTCAGGCACCTAACTATGTGTAGAGAAGAATCTCAACTCGTAGCTCTCAAGCCAAGCTTTCAAATCTCACTGCCTTTCCTATACATATGCATGTCTCTATATGAATAATCATCTATCTATCTGTATGTACAATCAGGAATCAACTGTAAATTTACTCAATAGTTGTTGCTTGCTGTGCAATGAAAAAGCCCGGCAAAAAAGAATGGTACGTCAGAAAACTGGTATTAAACCACCTTTGCACGAGGCAAGGTGTAGACACTCCATGGCACAGTAGACTTGAAGAAAAGGAGTTTCATGAAAAGAAATAGATACCGTATGCCTTTATTTTCAATGATTTTGTAAAAAATGAGTAATAACCTGTAAATATAAACCAAACAAAATATCCCCAACAGATATTAATAATTTTCCCTAAATGAAAAACATCAAGGCCCCATGGTTCGCTGTCATACATGAACATGTATCTATGACTCGATAAATTTTATGAAATTTCTACATGTAGTTCTCAAAGTGTACATTTAGATGCTACTGCAATTATGCATATGATTTGTTCATCTTTGTTTGTAGGTCAAATTTGATGGGCATTTGTTTTAAATTTCAGATAATTTTCTCAGATTCTCATGTTCTCAACCTTCAAGGGATTTGGCAAACGTGCTAGATTTGATCAGCTAATATGATTTCAAAACTCGCTTCCTAATTCTTGAAATCTAAACGTCAATCAAAGGTGTCTTTTCTGATGCTATCTATTAACATACAATCACATTCCTTTGAAGTTTTAGCTATGACATGCATGCGTCATTCATCTTTAGATCTGTTGTACAACACTCTCAAAGTTTATGGCACAAAAGTGATACATCCGTGATGAAAATAAAATGTTATTTTTCATCAAATTTCTGCCACGTAGAGTTCACATTGTGTCTAAAAGCAGTCATCACTTTCAAAATTGACCCAAATTGAATCATTGTAAATGGACTTGTCATTTGATCTGTGAAAGTGAAGGGGAAAAAAAGGCAAATGTAGGCGTCTATAGAGCAAGTGTTCTGCAAATATTAGAGGTTGGATGCATTTCTCAATATAGCACATCAGGCTTGGAAATGAGTTGTCCCTGTTGAGTGTCTTCATTAGTACTTCACCATGCTTTGCACAACGGAAACAAGATATGAGGAAGAGTAAAGATAGATGTACTTAGAGGGATGAATTCTCTCTTTCTTAATATTACATTATGTATGTAGGAGGATCTATACATGAACCTGCACACATTACTGAGTGTTACATGTGCAAATATGACTGAGGATAATGCAGAAATTTCTTTACTCGCTGATAATATGTCTTGTGGGTGTAGGAGGTGATAGAAAGATCTGTTCAATTCTCTGTCCATTTATAATTTATGGATAGCAATAAAATGTATAGAATGGAGCCATTAATGTTATGGAGTTTAAAAACTAAAAGCTTACATCTCATTGCAATTAATTTACTCTATGTGTGCCATGCAAGATGCTGTTCTATGGGGTTTGAAAGCAGAGCTTTTACAGTAATGAAGCAATCAATGAATGAATGATGTCCTATAGTCAAAGTAATGACTGCTTTTATGCTTACTAAGTTACAGCAATTATCACTACTTTGTGACCCCGCACAGCACCACAAAACCACCTAAAAGTCGCATAGTGTGGTTTTCATTTCGAGCACAATAAAGGTGTACTTGGTCAGCAAACAGTTTTCAGCATTTCATGAAGAGTATATTTGTTTGTAAATTTGGAAGCACAAAACAATTTTAAAGTGGTATTTTGGTAGTATTTTGTAGACCTATGTTTGTCTGATTTCGAGTTTGTTGTAGTAGTTTTGATTTATTGAAGACCCATGCTACTGGTCTCCTTTTGATCTCCAATAACTTTAAACCAGAGGAAGCTATTCCTTTAAGACATGTGGATCAGAATGTGCTTAATTGATGTGCCAAGTTTTAGGAAAATCTGATGATACCTTCACAGGGGTTTCTATAGATTTTAACCCTCCTCTTTTGTCACCTTGCACAAGACCTTGGGAGTGAGAATGCTTGAATAAACTTCAGCCCTTTAAGCACCTTTTTCTCTAAAATAACATTCTACAGGGCTAGACATTCTTCTCTTTTTTAATTGAGTTAGGAAAATCTCATTGTGATGAGTAATATATCATTTTAAAGCTGAGAATGTCCTCTTTGAGAATCAATCCTAATCTAAAGAGTCTTTTCCTGCGACTTTTTAGTGTTTGTGTGATGCAGGGGTCACATATGGTCTTCTCAAATTCATGCATATGATTTTTAATGAAACATTTTTTTGTTCTTCTTTGTTCCTCTCTACCTACAGGTTGCTGGTAATGCAGTCAAGCGTGCCTCAGACAACCTGGTCAAGGCTGCCAAAGACTCCCAGGATGCATCAGAAGATACGCAAGGCATTGAGATCACAGACCGCATGGTGGGCAACATCGCCATCGAGATCGAAGCCCAGGAGGCCATCTTGAAGAAGGAGAGGGAGCTCGAGGAGGCGCGAAGGAAACTTGAGATTATCCGTAAAGCCAAGTACGCCAACAAACCACCCACGGACTCTGATTGATCTAAATCAGCATCATACAGCTAGGTTATAGACAGTTAATCGTAACAATATGGATATCATTTATGGAAATGATAAACATATTATGTTTCTGTTCTGTATGCCTTATGAAGAAAAAAAGTATAAAAAAAGTGAAAATGAAATTTGGCATGGGTAAACTATAACATGTACAAAATATTAATGTTTTAAGTAAGACAGTGCCATGCAAAAAACAATATTGAATCCATGAACATCAATATAATATTTTAGATTTGTATGCATAAGTCAATAAAGTGAGTAGTAAATCAGTATATCATATTAACTGATCTGAGCAGTACATTTGATGGAGAAAAATATCCTATTAAACAAATGAAAAAAATATAATTTAATCATGTGGTCTTTTTCTTGAGCTACTATTATGCTTACGTTTGGTGCGGGAATGAGGGCTCTGCCTCCTGAATTTAATGTCAGTGGTCAAACATAGTAACGGAAATCATGTGACAGAATATTTTAATATTATTTTATCAGGAAAATGTATTATTCTGCCTACTTTATGTATTCTTTTATTAGAAAGGAAATTAATTAATAACAATGTCATCATGCTTGTCATTTAGTAGATGTGTGTAGATAAGTAAATCATGTATCAGATCATATTATTACTTTGACCTTTGTGTATATATTATATTACAGGAATTGAACCATCTCTTTTATTTTGATGTATTGCTTTTGTTGACAAAGAAAAACAGCGACATGTCTTGTCTAATCGTGCTCATGTAATGTAGCAGACATTGTAATAATGTGTAATAAGAAAGAAAATGTTTAAATGACTTTTATTATACACTACCATTGATGGTACATGAATGTGCTCCAAAATATATTTCCTTCATGTAGAGCAGCATTTGTTTTTGTCCACTGTAGCAAAATTTGCATTTATTTTAATTAATTTGAAGAGATATAAAAAAGGACTTATTTTCCTTCAATGCTTTCATGATGGCTTGTAAATTAATCATGATCTATCTAACAACGATAAAAGAATTGATGAAGCCTGAATGACATGATATCTTGATTATGGTCTTCCATCTTCAGTCACTTAAAGAGATATTGAGTTTTCAAAAGATTGATAAGAAAAGTGCAGATAAAAGAAGATTTGTGTAAATTTTGTCAGGAATGATTATAGCTTCCATGTCTTTGATGCTTTCATTGATATCACGTACAACAAGATGTGATTGTTAGTGTGTGTGTCTATATTTGCCTTTCATGTGGTTTATTAACAATAAAGATGTAGTAATTGAGTAGCTTTGTTAACTTCGTAAGTTTGCTTTTATTCTTTCCTACTTAGTTGATGTTCTGGAGCTTTCTCACTCTTAAAAAAAAATAGAAATAGATAGAAAATTCAGTATAATGCAAGTTGCAACTCGATTTAAATGTGTATTAATTAGCATATATGACCTGTATGTACGAGGATTGCTAGTATTTATATAGTAGATTTTGTTGTTATTTACTGTAAATGTTTGGAATATCCGGTTATATTTTAAATCAGTCCTTAGAATATGTAGAAGTTGTGTACATTGATTAGCAAACATTGCAATTTGTGTATTTGGATGTTATTCAATTTTTGTCATGCTTATATAGATCAAATTATTGGGTTATGTGAAATTAAGAAAATTTATGATTTTAATAACAGAAGCTGATTAATCTTCTAGAAGCTTAGAAGGTTCATTACATTCTCTTCAGCTGATTGGATGTTCCTAAAAGCAAAATGCTCTCAAGTTCCTTTTGAAAGTGTTTCTTAGTTTTGTTGAGAAAATGATATATTTTCATAGTAGAACGTGTCAACGAATTTTGTATGTGTATACTGTATATATATTGTTACCCTTTAAAATGCAGTTGGAAGGGAGTAATTCAGTCATGTGGAAATGCAAAATTCATGCAGATATAAGTCATTGTTCAAGAAATGATGAGAGACTGACAATGTGCTTCTTTGCATTAGTAATACAGAAGAAAGTCTTGTTTTTACCTGTCAAGTGAAGCAGCAAATTATACAGTGTAGCTTGTAAACTACACATGTACAATTATAAATGGGATACATTGCAAACATGGATTGGATGTAACTCTGAGAATGATGATGAAAAAGTAATTGTAAAAACTTGCCATAAATATGTCATGACGCAAGCAAGGACGTTTTTTTGTTATATTTACTGAATGGATTGGTTAAGAAATCTGTGAAAATCAATGGTAACAAACAGCTAAGAATGTAAGTAGATTATTGTATATGTAAGAGAGGCACAGGCAAGTGACTGGACGATTCTAAGTAAGAAGAAAATAAGTCATGTCTTATCTTGGAGTGATAACATTGGATACTGACTTTGGAATGATTTCTTGGCAAGCCAAGTTAACTAAAAAACAAGGAAATAAAGAAGTTATTATAATAAATGACAATGACTTATGAATTATTGTATAGTACACTGTTGACACATGATATGTGATTTTTTTTTTTTATGCAGATAATAATGCCTGTGCTCATCAATTGCCTATTGTAAATAATTTCCAGCTTTTGAGCAAAGAAAAAAAACATTTATCTCTAAAGGTTATTTAAACATTTTCTAGCTTTCTATATGTGATGACACCTATTTAGTTTCACCTGTTATTAGGTGTTAATCTATAGCCATAATTGTTTGTAGTTTGGAATGCATTGTTTTCCTTATAGTTCTAATATTGCTAAGCTATATATTATTTGCATGAATGCTTGATGTGTTTGGGTCTAATTAGTTTTGGGTTACTTCTAATTCTTTTTCTTTTCATGTGTGTTTTCATCAAATTGTTATGATTTTTGAAATGATTTAATCAAAGAATTATTGATATGATTTCATTCCTTTCAAAAGGAAAACAACCTTTATTTAAATGCAATAATATTTTCATGACAGAACTACAGTTAATTCATGGGGCAGACTTAATGCAGAAAAAAAAATTCAATCCTTTGCTAAAAAAGATAAAGTATCTGTTTTGTTTACTCTTTCTCTCTAGATTTTTTTCATGATATATCACATAATTATATGCCTGTATGATATTCACGTTTTTGAAATAAAACAAAATACATCAAGGAACATTTATACATAAATGAAGAGATGTGTGAACAGCTCTTGACTTGTGATTTCTGTGACTTTGTAAGATACACTAGATGTTTTTATAAATGTAATGCTTCCTGAGACGAATTTAAATTGTTTAAACATATTTGTGGCTTACACCCAGTAAGTCAGAAAAAAATCTTGGAACCAGCGGGATTTGAACCAGCATCTACTGCTTGCTGGGCAGCGACTCTACCACCAGGCCATCACTGGTCCATGCCACAGTCAGGATGAACTAGAAACAAATACCGAAGCTCTCCTGATTCATTCTGACTTATTAACTGGGTGTAAGTCACAAATATATTTAAACACTGGATGTTGTTTCATTGATGGTGGACAATACAGAGAAATGAACAAACAAACAAAATGCACAAACTGAAATCATGTGAAATGTATCCATACATGTAGGTAAAGATACAAGTCGGTTTTCTTTTGAAAAGCCTATTTTGCTTAAAACTTGTATAATATGTGTTTTCCAATATTTTGAAATACGTGGCAGAATGGAGCCACAGGAATAGGACAAAATATATGTAGTGTTTTTTTTAATGGGCAATTATAGGTAGTTATACCATGTCTGTGCCGGACATGATATAACTCTATTCATCCATTACACATCATCCCAATTTCACCAGACCACAAAAAAAGCATGATGAACAAACCACGTATATTGTAAACTTTATTCCTTTTTCTCATTTATTCTACATAATATTACTTATGTACAGCATTTGTACTTAAACGCCTTTTCCTTATACGCAAGAAGAAGAAATCCCAACATGTTGTTTTTCCTTTGTCGTATGATGCTTTATGTAGCTGTCTATTCTCTTATTTTATGTGCACCTTCATTATTTGATTTATCTTTTTATATTCTATACATGCATACTAAATTTACATGATGATAAATTCAACATTTGTCTTTGATATTAGCGTGATAAGAAAGGCCTACATTTGGAAATATTTGGGGAAGAAAGTGATAACATTGAATTACAGTCAGTGGGCATGAAGCACATTACGTTTGCAATGTTCTGCTTCCATTACGATGAATGATAGTTTCAAATGTAATAATTATATGTTGATACATGTAGTTATATTAGTACAACCAGCTCGAGGTTACAGATCTTTAGAATTCTCAGAAATTATAAAAACACGTCACACTGCTATACTTATGTAAAGAAATACATATATTAAAGTCAAATATGAAAGTAAACAATGAAATTGAATTACCTCAAGGGAAAATGTGAAAATGAATCTCCAAATTCCAAGGACAGTTTGGTTCCATAGGGAATGAAAATTATTATTCTAAACCTGAAAAAAAGCGGTCTTATCATGACGAATTTCTGTTCAAGTAGGTATTACAGTACGCGGTTGGATGACCGTACATTGAATAACATTTATGTTTCCATTCACAGCAGATATAAACTGATATGAAATCGTATACAAATTTAATAAGACCGATGATGAGATATACACCTTATGTTTTTACAATTCATTTTCAGCAGGCAATATCAATACACACTTTCTTCAAAAGTTGATAATGTAAAAGGTAATGAAAATAGCATTATATTATATCAACTTCTACAAACTTTGTTATGTAAGATCAGTTTATTCAAATGAAAGAAGATGTACCATTACAAAACATGGAGTTTAGAAGTAAATATTGTGGATGATACTAAATGCAAAGGAGATAAATTTTCATTTGTTTGTACTTTTTTCACTTTTGAATGGGAAAAATTGGGCTCGATACCGCGTGTTTTAATCGCATTATCTTGCTGACCGTAGTTTTGTCTATTGCCACGCGTTTTTAGAAGCAAAGCCCCTCCCCGAATAGAACCAGTTCCTTTGAGTACTTCTCGAGACGAATGCTGCAAGTTAGTGTGAACGAAACAGAGTATTATGAAATAACCTTTCCAAATATTGATCCACTTCAGAAATACTGTTCCATTAAAATTTACTTTTATTTAGGGAATACACGTCGAGTTCAATTTGCATTTGGTATTTGTCTTTTTTTTAAATAAAAGTAGCACGCTTTATTTGATGTAATCCTTTTTTCCATGGACGCCGTAGTAGGTCGTAAAATATATATATTTTAATCAAATTAGATTGTTGAAAACTACTAGTGTTTCACAGCTTTCATCATATACAGTCCGACAAAATTGTGAATTGCTTTCTCGGTCTGAAAGTTATGATATTTTAAGAGGAAGCCTGATTCCTTTTATCGGGTGGATTGGATTGGAGTGGATTTTGTTTTTATCTACGACAGCAAAGAATGACCTTGTTTCTACGGTCACATTGATGGGTAAATCAGAATGTGCTCTTATTTCATTATCAATTTAGGATTACATTTTGAAAGTATATTTGTCTCGATGTTAGCTCTCATTTGCTCGTGCTACTCAAATGGTTTTGATTACTTTTTCCCTTCATTCTTATGGCCCCTTTTAGGAACTGAAACTCTCTATAATACCTCATTTACCTGGGCGCATTTACTTGGTTTGAATCCTGTGATTTCCCGAAACTCAATGAAAGAGATAAAGTATACTTTTGTTCAAGATGGTAATTAAGAAGTTGAAACCTCCAGAGTTTTAGATCACCAGATAATTAATTCAGTGCGCTATGAAGAATCGTTCTGAACTTATTAGCAATCGTCGGAAGAATTAAGCGATTGGTGATAGTATTTTGAAATAGGATTTCATGTTTTCTTTGTAATTTTAAACGTAAATAAACACATCAGTTTAGGCACACAAAATCATAATCTTCTACAGCTACTGCTCTTCGCCCTATCATGTGACCAAAAATCACTCTTTTGCAATTGAATTAAGATCAAGAGTGCTACTCATATCAAAAGAAAATGCTCGTACTACGTAATGCTGCTAAAAATTAGACTGTTTACTGTTGCCCGTTTGACACCGCACTATTTTACCTAACCAATCAATTATCATTCTTATCTTAGTACTAAAAGAAACTTATTATGACAAGAGACACATGACATGTTGCTAAACATTATTATATACAAAGGTGTTTTTTGATTATTTTACTCAACCAGGCAATAAAGCAACTTTCTTTCTCAAACGCTTTCTACTTTCTACATTGATTCTGTCGAAGAATGAAATCATGAATGACCTTATAAGCTGTTCTTTACACCATTCCTGATAACATAAAGCAGTAAAACAAAACACGTGATACAAATTTGTATCTAGATACACTTTTTTCTTTTCTTTTTTTTTTAAATTTTACTATATCACATGTTATGGGCGTGAGATAGATAAAGCTCCAGATATGCTTCTGTGCAATGCACGATGCATTCATAAAAAAACACACTAGGGGTGTATCATAAGGACGATTATCAAGACCAAATGACTAATATTGTTTTGTATACTACGATTGTTGAGCGTCTTGGGCGTCTTTTGAAAAATGCGCTGTAATAAGAAGGACTGGAACTGTGTATGGGTGAGAGACGGGGTGCGTAGGAGGGTGTTGGTAGTCCTTCTTAAAGAGGGCATCCATCTGTAGTATAAGATGCTGGGGGCGATGTAGTGGTGCTGGATGTTCTCACCAATTCACTGCTATACAAAGAGAAGAAAAAGGCGGGGGAAGAGAAAATGAAAAATACGAATGGATACGTGAGGTTTCAGCTAAAGCGATCAAACGTGGTATAAAGGCGGTTTTATTTGTTTCGTAATTCATATATTTCTTGCAATGCAACATTCGAATAAACTAGATACGTCATATCGACCATGTCTCTGCATATTGTATGGGGCAGACAATGGGTTATTGCACTGACTGTATGTGGCGAAAAATGCAAGCAAGAAGCGAGAAGCTGGCGACAATAGATCTACACGTAAATTTGATGTCATAGGTGTATTTATTGATTGATTGATTGATTGATTGACTGACTGATTGATTGATTGATTGACTGATTGAATTATTGATTGATTGGATTATTGATTGAGTGATTGATTGATAAATGTATTTATTATTATCGCCGTAAATAATCAAATTTTACTGAATACGATCGCAACTAATTTTGAAAAGTCAACCTAGGCAATATCAAAAGCTATTATTATTATTATTATTAAGTAATCCGAACAATATCCATGGGATATACAATAAAGGATTGAAATTGCCCCCGGCTTGATATTTCGAAATAGTTGTTATCATGTTTTAGTTACAATCAGTATTCCCACGTGATGATGTTAAGCAGGATTTTATTTTATAATACGCTTTCCCTTTTAAAAATCAAACGTGTATGCCTTACCGTTCATAAAGAAAATATGTGCTCACGAAATTGTGTTGCCGTGCCCCTCTTCCTAATTTATACCCAAAAGGGACCTTGAAAATGTGATAAACCTTCAATTATGTTTCTTGCTTTTTCAAAGATTTTTAAAAATTGAATTAATACGTTAGTAAAAAAAGTTGTTTATCTCTTTCTTCCCTTTAATTTTCTATTTTGTTCTCTCTATAGTTTTGCTTGTTAGAGGTTTTTCGAAATTGTGCCCTCGTTACAAAACCCTCGATTTGCAAAATGGAACGAAGAGGAATTATCATACTGAACAATATATTGACCATGTTTACGGACAAATTTTTTGAAAGTTACACAGAAAAACCTTTCGGATTTTGTTTCATTAAAATAATATTTTAATAATAATAATCTTTAGGTCCACTCCAAACGTTATTCCACACGCGCACACACACACACACGCACACACACACACACACACACAATTTAATCTCAATCCCATTAGAGTTGGTATCAATATACCGATGATGATTTGATAAATATACTGAAAGTTTCTATAAAATAGTATTTTTGTTAAAATTAGGACGGCCATTTCGGACGCTTTCTCCAATTTAGAGGTGACCGCAATATATTTTCATGAAACACATCTGAAATATTTTGTATTAGTATACAATCTTTTGGAAAACAAGGTGTACTCTGTAAAGTAGTGGTAGCTATCTGTAAAACTAAGCATGATATTTGACTCAGCCTTCCGCTTTGTATGGTAATGTATCTGAAAGTAGACAGAAACGAGGTGCTAGGCATGACGTGATGACTATAGTGAGATGTTTCTCATGTCATTCATAAATTCCAGTTCTTAGATAATATCAGAAGATAAATTATTTATAGATGAATATTTGAAGGTAATGATATAGTATTGACAAATCGCAACGTTCTTTTCCTGAGCTAGAGCCCTTAAGCCATGCTTGGTAAGATTAGGCGAGTGGCAAACGGAATGAACAATAAATCCTCAAATCCGCATGCATCAGTCTACTACAAACTTTGAAATAAAAAATAATAAAAGGAAAAGAGGAATAAGGTAGGTGGAGAAGAAACAAGTGACTAGAGAAGAAGATGATACGCCCATGCAGTACAAAACTCCTGATCGATGGGCATGTTCATACGCATTTCATTCACTAAGTAAGACTGGTGCCCTCACGCCCCCCCCCCCCCAACCCTTGATGCTAGTTGCCCATCAATTACTGAACCCTAGCTACTCCACTGCTACTATTTTTAATTGGTAAATGAGAAGCTTGTGTTTCTTTTTATTTACGATTTTTGTTATTAGATTTGTGCATTTGTGTCAATAGAAAACAAATCTGAAGTATACAATATCAATGACAATAATGACAATATTGATAAAATGCACAAACCATCTTTAGAAATACTAAAAAGGCCCCAACAGAGTAATGCAATCAGATGTTATTACAACAACAAAATCGACATACATAACATCGAGCTAACTGATTAAAATCAAATAATGTAAGCGGAAAATAGCATTGAGCACTGCGCAAAAATTCATGATGAGAATATTAATATATAAATGCAAATAGAAAGTTTGTTCTGGATAAAAGGTATGCATTGTTTGAACATAATCTCTACAAACAAAATGCGCGCAATAAAATAACCGGTCAATGTAATCAAGATTAATATATTCCTAAACAGATCATACGACTGGAAGAATGTGAAATTGTTCTTTACTATGAAAAAAATGTTGCATTTATAAGTGTAACTGTATTATCGAAAATGCTTTTCAGAGAAGCGTACCACGGCTGACTAAGTTCAGCTCTGCTCATGCTTTGCGCTGGTAACATAGATATCACGTGATGCACGAAAATAATAAAGGCGACATTAATCAGAAAGCACTTTCCCTCTCAAAATAGAACAATTTCCTAGAACATTTATGATGATAACCACTTTTATTATTGTACACATTTTAGTATTTATGGGTCAGTCTGTGTATATTTGGGAGTGCAGGCATATGAATTTCGTTATTTTCTCAATGGCTGATTGTTGTAAAAATCGTTAACTGTGAATTGTACTACAGCTATGAATATGGTGTGCTCTTTCTTGTTGTTGATGTTGTTGCGATTGTTCCTTTTCTTTGTTTTGCTGTGGAAGTATGATATAAATGATAAAGCGGTGTACATGTACTAATGCAAGGTAAATTGCGGTAATACAATTTCTCAATGTTTAATGAAAGGGATTAATTTTTTTCGTTGTTTAACAAACAAAAATAGAGAAAAAAAGTGTTCTGTTGCTTGTGTTTTTAGCTCTTTCAAAAATTGTGGGTCCTTTTTACTGCCTCCAAACTTTTCACGAGATGTACCCGTCCCCCCCCCCCTCTCACGTCTCATTATCTATTGAATGGAGCGTGAATAGAGACTGTTGGCGTGGCATATACATTATTATATATCTAATAAAATTATGTATGATATGCGTAAAAAGTGTGGCAAACAGTCCATCTCATTTTCTTTCTCTCCTCTACGGAAGATGATTCCAATATGTACGTCTTCTGATCTCATATCTTTATTTCTATAGTTTCCTAGGACATTATTAATGTATGTATTTTGAACATGATATCAATTTTATAGCGATTTATCAGTCATAATTATTCATTGAATTTTACATGCCTTCTAGATGCCTTCTATATACCCCTTACTTTTATGACTGGTTAATGAAGAAAAAAACATAATCCTAAATCCCACTTGACCTTTTTTATGGATTACTGATTTTTACTGAAATATACTACGCTCTATTGGGGGACAGCAATGTGGCTTTGTCAATTTCTATATAAGAAAGAAACAGACATCATATTTGTCACTTCATTTTAACCCTTTTATACGTTTATACAATACTACCTTTTGAGAATGAAGCTTTATAATCACGTTGAGATGATTTCTCCACTTTTCTTCTACAACTTTATTTATTGTAAGACATGTGTAGCAATCAAGAGAAACCGGTCGAGGTTTCATTTGTATTTCTTCCTAGATTGGTCTATAAATAATTTCTATGAATAAATTAGATGATGATGGGATGACGATTTAAAACATTTCCCAGTACGTATGTGTATATTTAGCTTCACTATCAGAGTCTAATATACTGTCAAATGGAAACGTTATCAGCATTCTTTTTAAGGATATTATTATTATTTATTAGAGTGGGAAGGGGCTGGTAAAGCAAAGAGAAACTATGCTGAGATGAAATGATAATAAAAGTCTTCTCGCTTCAGCAACAAACAAAAAAAAAAAGGGGGGGAGGGGAGCTTAATCGAAAACAGCACGTATCAAGTTGTACCAGAAAGGTCTTTAGTACTTTCTTTTCGCTGGTTCCGAATCGGAAGTGATCCGTCCCAACCGAACACAATCAATCTAATTTGGTATTGAGTACAGCGGCCGACATGTAGTTTGATAACACCGCGCCTCGTTCATCAATGACGAAAGACCTACTGCAGAGAGAGAGAGAGAGAGAGAGAGAGAGAGAGAGAGAGAGAGAGAGAGAGAGAAGGGAGAGAGAGAGAGAGAAAGTGAGAGAGAGAAAGTGAGAGAGAGAAAGAGAGAGAGAGAGAGAGAAGGGGAGAGAGAGAGAGAAAGAGAGAGAGAAAAGAGAGAGAGAGAAAGAGAGAGAGAGAAAGAGAGAGAGAGAGAAGGGGGAGAGAGAGAAAGAGAGAGAGAGAAAGAGAGAGAGAGAGAGAGAGAAAGAAAGAGAGAGAGAGAGAGAGAGAGAGACTATTTTAAGAGATTATGGAGAGGACTAAATGAATATAGAGGGGAAACATACAAATACAGGAAAAGAAAGAGAAAGATAGTGAGTGAGAGAGAGAGAGAGAGAGAGAGAGAGAAAAAGAACGAGGGGAGGATTTAAGAAATGGATGCCGTTGCATATAGAGTTGCACAAAATTAATATTCGATGTCCAAACGCGCCGAATGAAGAGAGAGAGAAAAACTATATTTTCAGTAAAATTCAAATACCTGCAAAGTAAGAGTCAATAGGTCAATATTAAAGACAACATTGCAAAAATAGTTTGAATCTCAATGCTGAAAATGTTTAAAAAAAGAAAGTGAAAAGAATAAAAATACCGAAAGATAATGTCGAAAGAATGGAAAACGGCATTAGTACAAACAGCAAATTCTGCTGCATATCAGCGGTAGATAATTATGAGTAAATTCTGATTAATCACGTCCACATCTCATGACGAAAGGACATGGTCAGACAATGGGCTGGTCGTCCCGTTTTACTCCTTGGCTAAAGTAAAATGGATGACTTAAGACTATTGGAGCGATGAGGAGAGCGGTCGTTCGTGACCGTTTCAAAACTCGCAGCAAATTGGAAGGGACAAGTACGAGTAGGCTGCAATTTGGGATGAAAATACCACCGGCGGGGGCAGAAGAACGGCGTATTAAAAATGATGATTACAAGTAAAGACAAGACAGGGCCAAGACAAATATGATCATCTACCATTCTCATCTACAATAGATACCTATTCTTCATATGATTTTCGAGCTCAAGGGAAAAAAACCCGGCTTTTTTGTAATGGGTAGATATTAGTTCGATATTGAAAGCATGTAAAGGAATCGTTATTTTTACTTTCCTCGACTTCGCAGAAAAACAAACTTTCTCGGATATCATTTTTTCTCTTGTACTTGATATAATGAGAGATGTATGTCAGTGAGATTATTAAATGTGAATTGTTAATGCCGCCCATATATAAAGTTCCTAAACGTTTCTATTGGAATTAAGTCAATTTCATAACAGATGATAAGAATGCAAGTCTATTGCTGTTACCGAAGGATTTCCGACGATGACAATTTTTTACCTCCCACACGACAAAACATTTAGGCGGAGGAACCCTGCCGTTCACACTCATTCACACTCATTCACACTCATTCACAGTGTGAATCACACTGTGAATCACAGTGTGCTCCACAGTGTTAAATTGGGGCTTTTTCACATTGTGGTCGATTCGTTTCACACTGTGGTTCACAGTGTGGATAACCGGAAAAGGAAATTAGAACACACTCATTCACACTCATTCACATTCACAGTGTGCTCCACAATGTTAAATTGGGGCGTTTTCACATTGTGGTCGATTCGTTTCACACTGTGGTTCACAGTGTGGATAACCGGAAAAGGAAAGAACACACTCATTCACACTCATTCACAGTGGGAATCACACTATAGCTATTATAGCTTTTGAAAATTGATGGCATTGGTGATGATGGAAAGAGTGAATATCATGACCATGTTATGACGGCCAGATTCTTTAATCAATCTCTTATAATTACAATCCCAGTCGCAAGCCAGATATGATTCTCTAGACTTGGTGTATAATTTATTTGAAGCAGGTTGTAGAGGTTAGTTAAATGAACATATTAAAGATGGTCTTCACTAAGGGAAAGAAGATGCTTTCAATTATCTTTCCCACCATACGGTGAAATTCATGCAGTCTACTTAAGCTATTGAGAAGAATAAAACGTCATATTATGTTAACATGGTATCATACGCATTATCCTTTCGTGATCATTTTTTTTTCTTCTCATTTCAATTCAATTTCTGTTTTATTGTATAAAATGAAGAAGAACATGGCAAAAATCCGGAGAACAATATTGTCATATTTATAGTAAAATACAAGAAAACAGGAAATAAGGTTATATACTCTATATTAACGTATAGTTACTAAAACATCTAAAAAGAAGAACGCGACTTCATGCATTTAAAAGATAATGTTAAACAGTATTATTCTTACTCATAATGTTTGTTTAGGCTATATTTTTCATACAACATGGTGAGCTCCGAGTCAACATTTGCTTAGGAATTGGCGCTCAATGGTACGATCAATAAAGGGACTTAGTAACATTGTTCTGAAGAAAGAAAATGGTGCTCAGGTAGTGACTTCAATGCCAGATGTACAATTAAAGATAATCTGAAATTTTGAGTGAAAACAGACCATTATTAATGATGAAAATTAGAGAAAAAAAATTATCTGATCGATTCCTAAATTCTCCCAAACATATTATTATAATTAAATTAAATTTTAGGTGAATGTAAATCGTCACAAAGCAACGAACTGGCTCTATCTACCACTCCAAACATTTAAGTGTTAACTTTCTAAAAACCTGTCTTAATTTCATGGAAAACGGTTGGGAAAATTGGTTTGGAGAATTTACTGTTAAAGGGTTATACATTGACGCCTTCAAATAAAACCATAAATATCTTTTAGGATTTATTGCATAATAGAGGGTTAGCAGTTAGCACAATAGCAGGAATAGAATAAGCAACTTTTTGAAACAAAAATTATGCTGTTTTTTCATCAACCTTCAACAATATTACCGATTCACTTTAAAACCGCTTTATGCTACATGATTGCATAATTTGCCTAATGAGATACCCCAAATAATTTATGTAGGGCTCCGTTTGCAATTCAGACATTAATTTGTTGTTGTTGTTTTTATAATAGGATATGAAGAGAAATTTAGTTTATTTTCACAGACTTTTTTAAACAGTAAACTAAAGAGCAAAATGGGATATTTCTGATAATTATAAAATGCCAATAAGGGGGAAATCCGATAGGTAAAACGATGCAGCGAATTAGCAAAGGTTTTAAATGAAGGGTCCGTCTCAGTCATCAAAATAGTGAGGCATTCCTCTGATGAGCTTGGTATAAAAAGTGCTTTGCTCTATCAAGAGGCTTTCTCTGCCTAGCATGATGCTCGCCATACCGAAACATGACACAACTAATCCCTCAATTACCTCGACAAAAAAACTTGCCCAAATTGGTCGGGATGTCCCTCTAACTGGCTCTAATATGATGATGACTATCTTTGGATGATGTTTCTGATTCCTCAGTATCAATGCTGACCTTTCTGAGGAGGAGCTGCAAAGATTATATACCGTTCCCGCCCGAAATTTCGGGGGGAAAACATAATTCTGCACGCAATGAAAAAAAATGGGGGAAAACCTTCCGCGTTTGCAATTACGGCGCGCATGTACACGAGGTGAAGGTTAGGTTCTAATACGAAGCACCGCGTAAAAAACAAATAATGACACAAACGTTCTCTTTCATGTAAAATTTGCTTTCTTGGCTAGTTTTATAGAAATCTTGTGTAATGTAATTTGAAGTCGCAAATGGAAGTTTACGATAAACAATCCTCGATAGGAATTGGAAATAACAAGGATTTCGATCTATGCCTGTCGAGCCTTCCATCACATGAACATCAAAAGATCGAAGATATGGGGAGAGATTTCACAATAGGCGAAATTTTCAATCAATTTATTTGGCTCAAATTTTGCGAATAAGTACATGCGACAGCTTTTCACAATGACCTTCTCTTAAGATGTATACGATGCCTATCAAACAAGCGTTGACACCCAACATAAATTTTGTTCAGGTCTTTTCTTGATGAACGAACAAAGTGTCTAAAATCTAAAAATCAGCAGTGGCAATTAAAGAAATGGAATAACGAATCCGTCAAAAAGGTTTCTTTATAAAATGAAAATGGGGCGATTCTGCGAAATGTGTATCGGACGACATAGATATCTCATCTTTATTTCGGTTAACAAAATGAAAACCATTTAAAACGTTTATGCCTCTTACTCTTACTCTTACTCTTAATCATGATATAATGATTACAAAACAACTTTCTTTTATTTTGTGTTGATTCAGAAGGATTAGCCTATTTAATGCACTAACGCCTCCTATAGCGTCCAGTATTGCTGCTAGAAAGAACGGATTGTCCCCATTTTTTTCTTTTGGGGAAATCCAAAGGCTTGCTTTCTGGAGCTCAAATGCATTTCGAATATTTCCAGATTACTTTCTTTTAAAAACTAATTCCATACCTGAGAGCTCGTCAAATAAATTCAGAATTTGAAATGATGAATTATTTTCCGATAAAGCACTGATGACATTTTACAATGAACTTGTAGAATTGTGGGGGCCCTCGGATAATAATAAAACAAGACTTTAAAAGCGTGGGCAGCACTACCGTATTGATTGGGAAAAGGTAAAATTCTAAGCTGTGTAGATAAATGATGCCACGTGGTTATTTAGTATGAAAGATGTAGATGAGTGACCCAAAATGCGAGTTGGAAGGTATCCATGACAGGAAAAGAGATTTTCTCTACGTCTAATCAGATCTTTATCTGCAAATTTACATTATATCGGTTGATATTTTACTGGAATATGAGCTTTAAAGACTCCAAGACTAAATAAACAAAAACGAGTTGTAAGATCTCTCAAAAACTAAGTAAAGACAATTGACAAGATATCTATAGTGCAAATTATCGTAACTCGAGTGATATGTTTCTGAAAAATTGATTCAAACTCTATAAACCTGAAAGGATATACGCCTTGAAATGAATTGCAGGACCCCTCAAACACTATATAAAGATCATTGGTCGCTTACCTACAAGCATACACATACTTTCTGAGCAGTCAGGTAAACCAAACTAACTTTCTGAGCGATTTATGGTGAGGCAAAGACGAGTAATTACTACAAACGGCAAAGGTAAGGGAAGAAAAGAGGCCTGATGTACAATACAGCTAATACGTATCGTATGTGACGTCATAATGAGTAGCATGATTAGACGAAACGAATGCAGCAATAAGAGTAATGCATGTTTTGTATGTAAGAAGTAACCTTGTTTCGCAAAGGCTACCGGTGTTTGTCTATCAAGACTATAGAGGAGAAAAATAGGATTATGTTTTTGAAGCTATTCATGCGGAAGTGATATAATCCCTTTTTAACTAAATTCTGGTATTGGAAGGTTTACCTTATGATACTTACTGTCTTGGAAAGGATGGACATCTTCGCCATAAAGCTCATCCTGACTGAGATTCGGTCTTCTTTCCTGTATTGACTTCCCATCACTGAGATCAAACTCATTACTTAATGCTCTCAACAACCGAAGGTTTTTCGCTATATCTGGACAGAAAACGGGTGTTAAGACAGAGAGAAAAGGACAAAATGTAGGTTGTTTAAGGTTATTTAAGGAAATTATCATGTGCATGACGTAATATGTGAAGTAATCTATAAAGCCTCACGGAGCAGTGAAAATCGAGGCCAATTAGAAACGGAATATAAACAAAACACTTTAACAAATGGGTGTGCTAGATAGCATCAAGTTTATTTAGATCCATGATTGTTTTGATCGATATGATGTGGTTGGTAAGATGTCAGAAAAATTGCATCATCTTTTTGACTTGTTTTATCAAGCATTAGATGTTTTTGTTTCGTTTTATAACGATGTGAGAAACTAACGGAAATCTTATAATTCCATTTCGCATAATTCAGGGAATTATGCTCGCTCAGCCGTTCATAAACTTAATTTACATTCCCTTAACTTTATTTAGGACGGTATAATTTTGAAATAACACTGAATAACAGATGAATGTGCGTTGTTACTAAATTTTATTTAGCAACGGAAAGTAGACACTATGTATGAAATTGTCTGTACGATGCATTTCATGGAGCTACGTTTCCGAAGTATCATTAGCAACATTGCCCTCTAGACCATTATTATTCTTTAAGTTTGGGGAAGCTTTAGAATACTCAACAGACAAAATCAGCTCCTAAGAAAATATAATTTAACATTATTATATGACCTACTCTCTAAAAAAAATCGAGTGATCACGGACGTCACTCCTCTGGAGAGTGAAAATGTAGTGAAAATAGAGTGAACATTCACTCTTTTCTTCTTAGAGAGCACTCTAAAATCAATCGATTTTCACTCCTAAACAAGTGATCACGGACGTCACTCCCAAGAAAGTGAAAATAGAGTGAAAATTCACTCTTTTTTAAAGAGAGTAGGTTTACAGGGTTTACAATCTACATAATGTAACCTACATGTCATTTCAATAAAAAAGGGATACGCAATAGGAAATTATTCTCTTATTACTGTAATACGAATTCCAAATCATCCAAGGGGTTGTCTCAAATTCAAGTCTTGCAAAATCATAATTTCTGTTTTCAAATGTAGCGCTCGTCCTACTTTGAGACTGCTTGATAGGGTTGTGATCTATTGCAGCTGCTAGTCAGCTCTTTGTTTGAAGTAAGCCGACACAAATGATATGAAATCAACTTGATCTTTGAAAAAAATGAACGAATGCAACCCACAGGGGCTGAGTAAATGAAAAGAAACTAGTTCAAAGCAGATGGAAACATCTTTCTTTCAAGTCGATTGCTCGACAAATTGCCAAGACTTAACAGGGTCACTGTAAAACCTTAAGCACATGGAAGCCTATATTTGGCTGGATATTTGGGTGGTGGTTATATGGAACACCTCGTTAGCAACGTGCTGCTCATTTTGTATCACTTACGTCATTTAAAAAAACTACGCGTACTTTCGAAAATATCTTAATCAAAAAAATTCCTTCTCAGCCTGGATATTATAGATATAATTGCGAAGACAGACTCTAGGTCAAATCGGGGATTAGAATAACATGGCTTGAATTATTGGAGTATTACCAAATTAATTCTTTATCACCGACCCAGCGCATCCATGCAGCATGCATGTTTTTAAAACAAAAATGTATTTTCGAACATTTAATGAAAAAGACAGTTACATGCATATCTATAGCAGCTTCTGTCAGAAGGTAAGTCATTTTCTAAGCAAGGCAAATAGAAAGATAAGAAGAAAAACGATTCTTTAAATCTACTTACCTTCTTTTTCTATAGTCCGTTTGCCCATTCCTGCAACAGCGTGCATTTGTGCCAATTTAGCCGTAAAATTTGGCGGTTTGTTTCTTTTCAATCCTCCTGTAACATGGAATAAATAGGTAAAAAACAAAACAGAAGTGTCAAAAGTACAGTAGCAGCGATAGTAGTAGGTACTAGTAGCGATAGTAATAGTGAAAGTAGTAGTAGTAGTGAAATTCGTATTGATATTGTTTCGTAATTATTATTACTGATGTTATTATCATTATTATCATTATTATTTTCATTATTATTATTACAAGTAATAGTAGTAATAGAAGTTAAAGAAGAATAAGTAAAACCAGATATACGATTGAAGTCGACAGTGGTGGTGTCGCTATCGACTTAGAATCAGGAGTAGAAGCGAGATATCATGCCACACACCATTATTTTGCCTTGAATGTCACCCAGTTAGTCACTGTCATTGTCATAACCAGTAGCCTAATATGATTTAGTTCATATATAATCACGGGTTCTCTAGGGGACAACTTGTAAGAACAGATTGAAATTATCTGCAAATGAGCGATGATCAGCTCCTCGTCTCACGGGTAAACACACACCGATGTCAACGAACTATATTCCAATCTTGATTTTCCCTACGGTGTGGCAGGCTCGAAATATATTAGGTTAATCCTACTGGAATAAAAAATATAATTGAAAATAATGCACCAAAGGTAACAAAATGCCCACTCAAAACATAAATATTATACCGTTGATAACAGAAACAAGTAGCCGTATGTAAAATGCACATATCGACACCAACGATTAGAAAACTAAAGATGTAGTTGTAAAACTGTTATAAAGACAGTAGGCATTGCATCATATTCACTCATTGAAGAACATCGCAAATTCTTATGGTTATGAAATCGAATATAATTATAATTCACATCGAATATTTTCATTGTGAGCGTTATACTTTTTTAATTATTGGGGACAAATATTTGTATGTACCTATTAATTGCCAAATATACAAGTTAAGGCTTAAATGTAAAAACCGTTAAAATTGATGTACGCTAGCTATTTTCTGTAGAACATTTCTTATAGTACATGTGGGAGGAATGACATTTGGGGCGAAAACCTTCAACCATTTCGCGCCATACCGGCTCTGCCTTTAAATGTCCCGGGATTTGAATGTATCTTTTCATTCACCTCGAGGGAAGGGGTGTTAAAATGTTTATTTGCATGAAAGGACATGCGAGACCATTTGAAGCTTGTAGCGCTCGTTTTTCTTTTTTGGGATGATGACGTGATCAAACATCTTCACTGCAAGGCGTTTCCATCGCGTGGCATAATCACACGTCATGTTTCTCAATAATTCCAATCAAACCAAACTCCTTTACTTCCAATGACGACACATTATTGGCAAGGGAATCAGAATAGGGAGATATTTCACAACGTTCTCTACCTATTTGATGTTAATATGTCACATTTAAGTGTTCCTTAACAGTCACTTGGTGGGTAGTAATGAATAGATGTCGCAGGTGCAGCAACAGGGATGGGGGAGCCAGGGGGAACACATGGTACTTCTGAATTTTAAGAACCCCTATAAGATCATTTTGGATACCTCCCACGGTAGCCTACACTATGGCCCGTGTTCTACTGAAGTCTTAACCCGAAGCTGGTTTAAGCTTTGTTATTAATTGGGTTTAACAAAGAAAATTAGTCTTAGGTCTAAGTTATCATTTCTTTTAAATGATCCTAGACCAAGGATCGAGTTTAATTGAATCAGTGGAATACGGGCCTTTAAGTTTAGTAGTAGCACAATTTAGACAGATAATCCTGTTAATAGTAAGGACTCCCTTTTATGTTAAACTCGGTGTTCCACTAAGTATACTAAATTGTGCGAATTGTGCGTTGTCGGTTTGATACATTTCCTCTTTTATGGAATTGGAGTTTTGAAATTTCATCACAGCCAAAATGCTTATGCATTTAGATAATGAAATAGAATATTAAAACATGTGTCTTTACTGAAAATGTTATGTTGTGTTCATGTTAATGATAAACATGCATTTTCCCTGCATAAATTCTATTAGCATGATATCTTGATGTATAAGAAGAAGTGCATTATATCTTGGACGCGTTTCCAATATTTAAACCCAAAGAAGCGCATGAACATCAATCATGTGTATTTATAGCCTAAGCATACTGAATCAGAACCAATGAAATAGATAATAAGTTATCCGATTCGAAAGATTTGAGCACATTTCTTATAACGACGTTCACGAGCGATCTATGACAGTTCCTCTAATATTAACCAATCCGACATCCGATGAAATTTCATAAATGTCACTTGTCATTTTCGCATCATATCCGCCTCAGCATGAAATCTTTATTAAATAATGTTTGATGCAAGGTATTGTAATATCGAGCTGTAAATACATTGTAACTGCATGGTATCATTGCTAGAGATAGACATATTAATGAAACGACCCCCTTTTCTAAACAAAACAGAACAGTTATAACAGCTGGAATGGAAACGATTGCTTTGAAGACATGTGAGTTTTAAAGCAGACTGAAGACCGTGTGTAATCTCTTCTTACCGATTTTAGGACAACATTATTTTCATGTCTTTTAGCACCGTAATAATAAAGGTCACACATATCTATACTGATAATAATACACAAAATCTTGTACCCTTTACATTCACCACAGTCATCGTCTCTTAGTGACCGCTCATCACTTCCCAAGAATTTTGTTTCTTGTTTGTATTTTGTATCACCTATTTCATTTTCCTATAACAGTATTCTTGTTTGATGTATGACAAGTATCTTGCACATTCTCCTGAAAAAAAATCTCAACTTTATTTAGGCATGGTTTCGGGCAGACCATAGAGCGGGACTGCCGCCGCCTATAGAATAACATGATTAGCGGATATCATGAATCTTTATTGTTTGTTTGATTCTGGCACAACATGAAAACAAAGAACAATTTCGAGATGAAAGCACACAGGAATGCCCCTTTCATTTCCTTCTTTAAAAGGCAAGTTCAATGGAGTACCTTTTAATAAATATTTTAAGAGATTTTTTTCTTTTCTTCACAGACATTCTTCCACATAGATGCTGATATAGATTTATTGAGCCTGTACCTGCAGACTATGACAACCTGGGATATTTTTGTCGGCAAAGGTGAGAGTGTCTTCCTTTGACTTGAGCACCGTCTTTTCCTGTCCGACGGATACGCCTGCTCGCCAAATCCTAGTCTCCATGGCACAGAATCAATCCAATAACGTGAGGTCGATAGAGTCAAAATCAAAAGCCTAGCTTTAAATGTCATCCAGGAATCATATCGTCATGATCATTTCTCCGTATACAAACTTTCTGAACGATGATACCCCGCTTCATAAATCTGAAATTTCAATTATGTTTCTTTGTTACAATTTTGTGTTTTTTTTACCTTTCATCCGCATGAGCAGACAAAGACAAGATTGGATCGTGAATAAGGTTGATATTGCAATATTAAGATAGACTGTCATCCTGTTTATAGTGTTCTATTCACCTAAAGTGGATTTGGGGTTAGGGTTTGGGTTTAAATTTAATCCGAAATGAAACAAAGACGATGAGAAATGAGAAACCCTACACAAAGAGAATTTATAAATTTTCATTGGCGATTTTTATCGTTACTCTGATATGTATATGATTGAAAATAGACAGAGCGGAGAATCGAAGAAAATTCTCCCAATTATTGTGACCGATTATTCCACGTTTATGCTGTGACTTTAAAATTATGTACAACTGTAACAAGATACATTATAGGAACTATATCTGATATCAAATTTTGCTCATGATGAAAACGTAAGGGAGCTTAGGAAATCCGAGCTGTGACATTGAATAATTATTGATGATGTCAATGTATATATATGTTCACTTAGTAGGTGTGTAGAGAGAGAGAGAGAGAATTAAAATTATGTGTGACCTCCCCCAAATGATACATATTAAATAACGTTGAATAAAAGTTGACATTATATATATATATATACTTCATTTATTTATTGCAACCATGTGTTGGATTTCACAAAAGTAAGTAAGCATTAGTAAACACACAACTGGGAGAGCAAAAGTGATATGGATATGAAAAAGGTGGATCGGAAAAGGGTTTGTATAACTCAGTAGCCGTGCTGCACCCTTAAGGCCCGGTCACACAGAGGGGACGCATGGGGGACGCACGGCCGGCGCATGGAAAATTTGCAATTTTGGCCAGTGCGTTGTCGTGCGCCCAACTTTTGTCAAAGCTATACAGCTAGCTGACACCAAATGCATAGCGCGCTGGACGCATACAGGGCGTATACAGGGCGCACACAGGGCGCACACAGGGCGCACACAGAGCGCACATGAAAACAACTTCCACGAATGCACAGCGTGTTGCTAGCGCGCTGGACGAATGGTCCACGCATGCACCGCGTTCTACGACGCACGGCCAGCGCATTGGAAATCGGAAAAGAACGTGTGCCTAACTTTTGTCATAATTTTGGAAAAGCTAGCGAGCTGACACAAAATGCACGGCGTGTAGCTAGCGCGCTGTGCGTATACAGGGCGTGTGCTCCGCGTTTGTCTGGCGCTGGTCTAGCGCGCTCCAAGCATGTCTGGCGCTGGTCTAGCGCGCTCCGGCGCATGTCTGGCGTGCCTTTGGCGTGTATATTCATGCGTCGAGCTCGGCGCACGTTTTTGAGCATGCTCAAAAAATCCCGACGCACACAGCGAATGACGACGCATGCATAGCGCTGGTCCAGCGTTGGTCCAGCGCGCTCGAGTAACGAATGATGACGCACGCCTAGCGAACGACAACGCACTGGCCCAAATTGCAAATTTCCAATGCGCTGGCCGTGCGTTCCCCATGCGTCCTCCCTGTGTGACCGGGCCTTACCAGGACGTCAAAGCACGAAAGCATTTTCGGAATGTTAATGACAATGCTGTTCCACGTCACTTTAGGCAGCATTGTAGCTCCTCGGCACCATTTGGAACCCTTGTGATGATGCCTGAAGGAAACAAATCAATGACGATTTCAAGAAAAAGGCAATCATAACTTTGTTCATAATATAACAAAGATATTCCATGGTTCGTTATGTA